CACAATATGAAACAGGGAAGTACCGCCGTGTAATCCATTTATTTCAACAAAGTAACTGTATTCTAAATACCACCTTTTTAAACGGTAACTGTAACAGAATACAGTTACTCATATTTTGTATTTTAAATACGTAACGGCGGTACATGTATTCCGTTACTCCCCAACACTGTGTGTGTGTAACTAAATATGTGGATGGATTTATCTTAAGACAGATCTAAATAAAAATAATGTATTAACTTTATATAGTTATTAGTATTTATGTGATATTAACTAATTCAAAAGTCATAATTGGGCAGGGTGGGGCTCATTTGAAGACGTTTCTCCTGCTATGCTGAATATATTTTTCATATCTTTTGAAAAGAACAAACGCAGGACTTAAACTGATCGATGTTTGTGCACTTTAATCCGTTTAAATAATCTTGTGAAGCATAAATGTAAAAAGTGGTTACTCTGGTTGTGGTTCATTATCATTTCAGATGCAACGCTAAACGAGCCGAGAGCACAGCTCTGTCTCTTCTCCCAGTCATCGGCTGGATGAAAGCGTACCGATTCAAAGAATGGCTGCTGGGTGACATCGTGTCTGGTGTCAGCACTGGACTGGTGGCTGTCCTGCAAGGTGAGTATCAACAGAAAGGTACAGCCTCTGAACTCTTTGAGGTAATAATAATAATAATGACTGTGCAACTCTATCTGACTAACTGTGATAACCTGTGATAACAGACAGCTGTGAGAACCTCTGCGCTCTTATCTGAGCTGTTTAAACGATAGTGAGTGTGCTTAACAGCAGCTTTGAAATGAGGAAATAACCATTTGATCGCTTGATGATTTTGTACGTTTGCTCATTTTAATGGAGACACAATATCATCTAAAACATTCAGAAAAAGAAAAACATTAAATTTATAGATCACTTTGCGTGTTGGTGCAGCCCTTTGAAACCAGCTTTCTTTTCATTGGCTGCTCCTCAGCAGCAGCAGGTGAGTGGAGGTGACATCGTAACAGTATAGATGTAAAAAGAAATTAGGAGGACGGGTTCTTTAACCTTTGTATACTTTACTTACTTATTGAGAGCCCAGAGATTTACTCAACTGGTGTTTCTGTCTTGCAGGGCTGGCCTACTGTTTGTTGGCTTCTCTGCCACCCTGGTATGGGCTCTTCTCCGCCTTCTTCCCTGTGATCATCTACTTTTTCCTCGGCACCTCCAGACACATCTCAGTGGGTAAGGCCATCGTCCATTTCTATATAGCTGCTCTCTAAATGTTAGAGTGTAAGTATATCTGCCATCCTCCTGTCTCCCTGAAGGTCCGTTTCCAGTGCTCTGTCTGATGATTGGCTCGGTGGTCACCAGGCTGGTCCCAGACGAGGGGCCGGCGTTCAACATCACGGAGTTTGAAGGCCTGACCAGAGACGAGCAGAGAGTGCTGGTGGCCTCTTCTGTCACTTTCCTTGCCGGCATCATGCAGGTGAATCGGCTCGCCACAGCCAATAAGTTGCTCTAGTCAACAACTGAGTCACCTTGTCAACAAGCATGCTTTCTGAGGATCAAACACAAACCTGTAGGATCTCAAACATACGTTTGTGATTTGGAAACAACAAAAAGCTTTGTGTCCTTGACAGAAAACAGTTGTTGTGTTTCGTCCTTTTTAATAAGGCTCCTTGAGAGCCGTTCATCACAACTTCATTTGTGAGCTCTGGCTTTCAAAGGAGCATACTTCGCTCCATCTGTCCATCAAAAAATACTATTGAGCAGCAAATGTAGCATAATAGTGTTAGCATGAAAACACTGACAGCTACTGAAAAGTAGGTTGACATTTTAAAAGTGATGAGAATATTGATTGTACTCTCACATTTATCCATTTAAGGCGATGGTTAGCTGGATGCACCAAGAAGGCTGTGCTCTTTTTTTGGAATAGGTGAAACAAACCTAAACCCCAGTCAGTGAGCATAAGAGGCACTCATAGATGGACTTACTGTGTTTGGGTTTGTTAGCTTTGGACTGAGGTGGGATAAGATGTGCTCCATACAAGAGCAGTTATTACCTGCAGCGAGAGTCACAGAGCAATATATGATCTATTTGACCTAGAATCTCACTCTTACATTTCACGTCCGCCTTTCTTTCAAGCTGTGTTCAGTCTTTAAAGAAAGTGATGGCAGGAACAATAAGCAGCCTAGTTACAGTCGTTAGAAAGTAGTTATGTAATAAACTCAAGTTATTCATGTTACTCCTGCGTAACAATGGTGTAATCAAAGACCGGATCTGTCATGCTACACAAAATCTGATTTTTCCCTGCACTACAAACTACAGTTATAAATGAATACATAGAAAAATACAGCATTATTCTCTTGAAAGGAAACCCAGAGAGTGAGCAGGCAGAGGCTCGCGCTCCCTGGGTGTTTCCTGTTGTGTGCTCTGACAGCTGTGCTTTAGGGAAATATGTATCATGTATGTATCAAGTATCATGATTAGTAGATGGTTCACTTCATCAATTATGTGATTTACAGAAAACTGGCAGTTGCTTTTATAACTGTTGAGAGGACTGCAGTTTACAATGTAAACATTCATTGGTCCCAAGTGGATTATCGGTACTTTAATTTTAGTAATACTAATCACACAGAGTGGTACTTTTGCTGTGTGTCAGCTGTTTATCTTACGGATGTGAATACCAGATCATGACATATATGCTGCTGTCTGCTAATCAAAGCAGCACATTCAGATGAACAGCTGTTGTTAACCTTGATGTACACAGAGGGACGTCACAGGGTTTTCATTCCTAAAAGAAATTCAAAAAACCTTTTTTCTTTTTCTGGTAACACGCAGTTTAATAATACACTATTTTGTTTATCATGTTGGGGTTTTTCAGCCTAAATGACTGAATCTATTTGTGACTCCTGTCTCTGGCAGCTTGCGATGGGCATTCTGCAGGTGGGCTTCGTTGTCATGTACCTTTCTGACACACTTGTGTCAGGTTTCACCACAGCTGCTGCGATCCACATTCTGGTGTCGCAGCTCAAGTTTGTGTTGGGGCTGGAAGTTCCAGGGATCAGCGGGCCGCTGTCACTCATATATGTAAGTACAGGCCAGCTTGAAGCTTGCTCTGTTCATCACAACAGGTTGTTTATCTGCTGGTTTCATTCTTCAGACTTTGGAGATCATCTTTAACAAGATCACCTCCACCAATGTCTGTGATGTGGTGATCTCCATCGTGATCATGGTGGTGGTGTTCATCGTAAAGGAGATAAATGAGCGATTTAAATCCAAGCTGCCTGTGCCGATCCCCATAGAGGTCGTCATGGTGAGCAACGCTGCATGACTCCTGACATTTTTGCATCTCTTTGAAGGCTTGTTGGCTCCATAAACAACAACACTGATATTTATTACACTGGTTTTGGCTCTTCACTTTAACGACTGTACTCAGCAGGTGAATAACATTCATTAAAGTGATTAATGTTCATTTATGGGCCAGAAAAAGATTTCACCGAGAGATACCGGTCACAGGTTCACACCTGCAGTTAATAAATGCTCTCTGACTTTTGTATTTAAAAGAGTAAATAGCTGTAAATAATCATTTGTCATTTCTTTCACAGACTGTTATTGCATGTGGAGTTTCATATGCATTCGACTTTAAGACAAGATATGGCATTGATGTTGTTGGTTATATACCAAAAGGGTAAGAATACATCAAGCTTACAGTAAAACCTGTCGATTGTTTTATCTTTGCTGTAGAAGAGTCAGAACATCAGCAGCAGGAGTTATCAATGACAAACTGTACTTCCCCTGTAATATTATACTGTTGTTTTAATATCCTGAGACTGTACATAACTCACAAGTACATAAGAAATTTATAAGGTGATAATAGCTAAAAGCTAACATTTTGTTTTGGAGCCTGTAAAAGTGTAAAATCAGAAAGGCAGTCAAAGAGAGGTCAAAGCACTTCCACAACATTATAGTTCTAAAATGCAACATGCAAACTTTACACATGTTATGTCTCTTTCTGCTTTGGCCAAAATTAAATATTGTCACAATACGGCGAGAGTAGGACCTAAACGCAAACTCGCAGAGACAAAAAGTAAACTCAAAAAACACAGCTTTATTGCTGGCGTGGAGTGGGACGCGAAAAACAATACAAAACTAAACTGGGAAAACTAAAGCACAAGGAGCCACAGGGAAAAATCACACAGCTATGAGGGAAGACGCAACGCTGGCAAAGAGAAACATGGGGCTTAAATACTCTGACCAAAACCAGAGCAAAAGTCCCACAAAAAGGGTGCAAAAAGCCCATGAAAGGCACTAAAGCTCAGGAGATAGTTCTTAAAACTTTCAGGGGGCCGACCTGGAGGTCGACAGCATAACAGTTCATAGTTCAAAGGTTCAGGGGGCCGGCCACGAGTCCAACGGTGGTGACAGAGCAGATCAGGGGGCCGACCATGTGGAAGGTGGCAGTGGCGAAGCAGGCATGGCTGGCCACACTTGGACAGCTTGGCTG